AAAACAGAATTAATTTAATGGCTATTAGCTATAAGCAGCAGCAGGCTTGTTCAAGATTTACACTTAGAAACTTTAGAAAGTTTGTACATCAGATCTTGTGTCTTTAAACAGCTATGAAATGATCTCAATGACTTAATGTACCGATGTTGTTGAAATCGGCTTTAGCAGAACGCTGTCACACATTTTAAGATTAATACATAATGTAATATCAGTGCCACTGTTGGTTGAGGTTGTCTCCTCTGATTTGACAATGCCTTGATCCTTTATAATTCAAGCAGATCTATTTTTTTTTTTTTCCGTCAGACTGCAGAGAAAAGTGAATAATTTGAGTTGGGTAGTCGAGGCACTCTTTTTTTTTTTTTAACATGCATTACAAACTTCATATTTTGTTAATTGCATTTGCGTCTGACTGAGAACTCAGAGATATGCCTGTTTGAAATGATGAAGTGAAGCATGTCCTGTCCTCTGTCTCGACTGACTGGCTGCTTTCTGCCCTACAGACAATGCAATACCCATTAAGTCCTGGTTCAGCGATCCTAGTGACACAGCTCTTCTAAACTTGCTGCCTATGCTGGATGCACTAAGGTAACAAAGTTCACCTGAAAGCAGACATTTTGAACCATCCCATTTTAATCCAAGTAATACAGGCAGTTGGTGTTTAAGACTGGAGAATAAAAACGGAATGAGATATTTTTCATACCAGTTTCATCAGGAGCCGAAGTTTAAACCACGAGGGTTAGGGTGTAAAACAATATTGCAGTCTTCCTAAAGTGATAGGAACGGCAAGGAGAGCATTATTCGAAGAAGCAGATGGTAAAGTTGGTCAAATCTGTCCTTTTATTGAAAAATTGGACCAGAGATGATCATTATTGCCATAAAGCCATATGGTGTTTATTTGAAACTTTACAACAAGCCAGAGAAGTGGGAAGATGGAGGTTCGTCTTAAAGATAGCAGCCATGAAATGCAGTCAGCTATATTGGTAGGACTTAGATGGAAGTGAAGTCTTGTGGTAAAATAGCCCAGCTTTGAAATGAAAAGCTTTAAAATTGATGCCTTACACTCAGCATGACTAAGTTTGAGCTTTTTTTGCAAATGAGAATGAGCAACAAGTTTAGTCTCTCAAGGTGCAAAGCTGGTAGAGACAAACCTGCAGCTGTATTCACAAAGAATGGAGCTGAACTCTTGTTTCATAATTATTACCTGTATAAATTAAAAAAAGATTTGCCTGGGATGGAGGAAGAGGAGAGGTTGGAGTCGGACTGAAGATAGGGTTAAGTCAGGTTTATTTGTTTATCACATTTCAGCAACAAGGCAGTTCAAAGTGCTGTACATAATAAAAATATCATACAGTCAGCAATTATGAAACAAACATCAAGGAATCAAATATGTTGATCAGTGCTCGACTTACTGCTAATCAAAGCTGCATTAGCATTTATAAATCCTCCAGCTAATATTTGTCGATGCATGAACAAAGCAGAGTAATTTCCAAGTTAATATTTTCTCTAAAAAACGTTAAAATTTCTCTAAGACGCCTATCGTAACCTCTTGCCCATGTCACTCCCGTCTCTCCGTTTGCCGCAGGTTCACCGCTGACGTTCGTTCCGTCCTCAGTCGAAACCTCCATCAGCACCGGCTCTGGTGATTGGCCGAACGGGGAGGCGTGTTGCTTGTTGAGCAGCCTCTTCCTCTCCGCCGGTCTCCATCCTGCCCTCCTTTCCCTCTCTGACGACCCACCGACCCTCCCAGACGTGTCCTGGAGGAGATGGGAGAGGCTGGGGTGAGCGCCTAACTCGGGTTGAACAGTATGGGATCACCAGAACCCAAGAACTACTGGGGAGGGAGAGGGAGCCGGCTGGGTTTTTTTTTTTTTTCCTCCTTAAGTCTTTTTTTTTTTTTTCTAAAACAAAATGGAGCCTCTCTGCCTTATAGCTCCTGATACTGACTGTATGAGTACGGAGGGGAGCTGTGTATGTGAGTTGGAGCTTGTTAGTCCTTTTAAACTTTTTGGAAGACACGTGGGGATAAAGAAGCGGATCAGCGAAGCAACAAAGACGATTCTACGTCATTATTTCCTCCTCTCCTCTACCGCCATCATCACTGCACTTCAGCAGCCGCCTCATCTTACCTTCCCGGTGCAAATCAATGGGGTAGCGTAGAAAAATAAACCTTTCATTGTTGCTTTTTCTTTAGACCAACATTGTCCACAGATATTGATTCATTCATTTCTAAGGTACTATTTTCGTCTGCCCAACAAGAGTGGATTCACTGACATATTGCAATTTGGTGGAGTTTGCTTGACATAAAACATCCGCAGGCCTTTTTGTTCTTTTTTCCTGGACAGATCTTTTCCTCCCACTTCCTGTCAGGATCATCACTCTTTGCCCCCCCCCCAAGCTCCTCTTGGGACTCGGTGAAATAAGACTTGAACATCGTAAGAAAAACAAATGGCTTGTTAATGATATGTGGACTGCCGTGCCGCTTTTCCATATCTGATTGTTTTCTGCCAATATGATATATGATAAGAATGAATTCTCCATAAATGATGTTTTGCTCTCTCATTTAATGCCATCCTGGACTTACCTAATAGGAAATTGCACTTAACCCCTTTACTTCCCACTTTTTTTTCTTTTTTTCTTTTTTTTTATTTGTTGCAGATTCTTTGTTTTACAACCTTCCCTGTTCTGTTTCCACCCCAGATTGTATGGGTTCAGCTGTAAGACCCTCCATCTTAAAAATGCCTTCTGAACAATGTCAGTTTCGTCAAAGCTCACAGCGGCTTCTTATCGGCTCTGTCTCCATGTCTGTGTTACTAATAAAACACTCGTCAGTATCGACCTGCTACTTATGCAGCTTCATTCCTTTTCACAATAATACAGCATGATGGCTTCGTATTTTATTCTCTAATTGCTTCCGCTCGTTTGGGGGGGAAGAGGAAAAAAAGCTGGAATTCAGTTTGGATGATCTGCTGCCACCATGTGGCCTGAACGGAGAACTACACTGGTGGTACGCACTCTTCTTTTCAGGATGGCTGAAGAAGGAACAAACTTGGTCTTATTTTATGTGTTTTGAATTACAGGTATGAAATGAAAAAAAAAAACAGCTTGCTAGTTGTGATCTAGAGTTTCAAATTAAAGTACAAAACGGTTATCGTTTTTGTTATTTCAAACTTTGGTTCCTAGAGTTGGGGCCTTCACCTGTAGCTCTCGCTCTGCATGATCAAGTTACACTTTAGAAATTACAATTTAACACTTTTGGAAAAGGTTTGGAAAATAATATAATTTGTTGGAGGGGTTTTTTTCCCAGCATGACAACGACCCAAAACATCAGCAAACCCACAAAGACTGAGGATGAAGAAATTTAAAGGAATTGGGTTCTAGACTTTCTTACACCATAGTTTTAAACTGGATCCTGTCATTTAGACCCCGCCCCAGTTACAGTCACTTTCACAAATTCGATCACTAATTTTGTTCTAAAAACCCCCCCAAAAAAGTCTCTTTACAAAAGCCATGTGTTAAAAGATTTCCAAAGAGACTTATGCAACTTATATAATTATTTTTCATTTAGGACAGTTTGGTACAACATTAGGATATAATTTAGACAACGATTGCTAGTAACTTTTGGACCTTAAATTTAATCAATTTATTTCAAAGAAGATTCTTTGGACTACAAATAATTGTGGCACCACTCTGTTTCTGACACTTTTGACTTCATGGAATATTTCATAGAAAAAAAGGATATTCTCAAAGTAAAAGTTGGATTTCATAATTTGTCATTATTCCACTGCAATAAAAGTTCTTATTTTTAGATGTCAGCTAGAAACATCAGATTTTCATCCAAATATTTTAAGACCCAGAATGTCCAAATGTATAACTATAACAATCAAATCATTGGCTGGAAACAATGGAGTAGATTAAAATAAAAAAAGATAAATATTCTTTATTTTCCCACAATGGGAAATTTCTGTGCAACAGCAGCAAAGTGACAGGTGATAACCGCAAATAGACTATAAACAATAATAATAAAAAAATACTGTACAATAAGGAAAAAAATTCTACATACTCTGTAGTTATTTTAAAAAATACTTCAGAAGAATGTGCAACAGAGTTGGTTAATTAAAAATTGTACAATATGTAATTCCGGTTAGAAGTAGATCAGTTTTCACTTTCAGAACATGCTGTCAAACACAGAGTCTCTGTAGTCTACCTCACTGTCAACTTTAATGATGCCTGTAACGCGGAAGTCACATGAGCATGGGGAGTCATGGAGTCACTGCCTTGCGCAATAGGTTGGCATTTGTTTTGGATATATTTTAGGAGGCTGGTCTTTAATAAAGGTAGCCTGGTTATAGCTAAAATATTATCGTTATGAATTTCTAGTTTAAGAGAAATTCAAAATGTAATTCTGAAATTCGAGTAACAGTCTACTATTCTAAATGCATAATGGAGGGATTTTTGTTTTAAATTTATGCTCCCCACAAAATTTTCATTTATTCTTTTAATATACACCGTAAAACAAGCTAGCAAGCCTAAAAATGATCAATCTGTCTCAGTGCTTTAAATATTTTGTTGTACTACAACCTTAATCCGCAAATGTCATTTCTTTTTAGTGTGTTTGTTTAAGAAAAATTGAATGAGGGCACGATCATTTAAATAATATTGCTTTTATCTAACAATTCCCAACGCATTACATAAGTAAAGCCAAAAGTAAGACTGGGTGTTTTTGAAATTTCATCTCCGCTGCTGCTGCTGGGCCTCGGTCATATGACAAGGACAGATACCTCCTCACGGCCCTGCCCAGCGTCCATATGCGCGGCTGTTCACAAAAATAAAATAGTTCCTTGGAAAACTATCCCGCGAACATCTTATACCACAAAAGTATGTCCAATATCAAAATACACTGTTTAACTTAACTAACTACTGATTGTACCTGCAAGGAAACGTGTTGAGTTACACCCTACGAACTAGACTCTTTGTCTACGTCATGTTGTTATTGTATCCCTCCGCCAGTGGCAAAAAAACAGCTGTGGTGAGCTAAAGCTAGTTAGCGTCGAGTGTGTTTGTGTCAGCGGTTTGAGTCGTTGTCTGAACGGGAAAACCTAGTCCATTTTAAACCAGGAGTGACCGACTTGTTGTCTGTCAACTCTTCAAACGATGAAGTTTCAGTACAAAGAGGAGCATCCATTCGAGAAGAGGCGGTCCGAGGGCGAGAAAATAAGGAAGAAGTACCCGGACAGGGTCCCAGTAAGTGGCTAACATGGTAGCTCCGTTCGTTGACGGAAGACGCGAAGGCTTTTTAGATACACACATTTTGTGTCGTGACTGTTAGAAAACTCGAAATAAAAGTACTCAATAAACGTATAAAGTAATTCAAACGTATTTGTTGACGTGGTTGTGTCCATTTTCAGCTGCCACGCTAGTAAACATAGTCGTTAGCTAAAGACGACAGAGGTTATCGCAGTTAACAGGCCAGGTAGTCAAGCTAGCTTCCTGTATTTCATTTAGAATTTTAGATCACGTATCACAGTGAATGCTTTTTAAAAAAAAAGATGGCTATGTTTATTTTTAAGGGTAAACATTGAAATTAACCAGATGTGGGCGGATTAAAAATAGTTACCCCTAGAGAAAAGACTGTTTGTTTTCGCCGGATATTCATTAGATTGTACAGGCTGTGCTGTTTACCTCATCCCGACCGAACAAGACAGCCTGGATCAAAGCCTCATGTGACCATATCTGGTGATTGTGAGATGAGCTTCACCTTTTCTCTTCCCGTCTAGTTTCACTGACATTACCTTCACATTCTTTTTATCAGGCAACAGATCGATCACGGATGAGCACAACAATTACACAGCAATTTTTGGAAAGGCTACCACAGTATTTCATGTCATTTTCTCGCCTTTGTTTACAACATTCGATCAAATAAGCACTTTATATGTGTTGTGTAGTTGCAGATACATTTCCAGTAGAATGAGTTATAAAAAAAATAAGTTGCTATTTGGATGGCAACTTTAAAAAAAGAAGTTATTTTTAGATTTAAGAAGAAGACATTTGAATAAAATACGTTTGTCTAATTGATACATGAGCTTCTTTTAGATGTATTAATAAAAGGAAAAAAAAGATGAGCACATTTTGAAAGGCAAATAAAAGAAATGTCTAATAAAACCAAGGACATTTTAGGAGTAAGATGAAAAAAAATAATTTATTTTTCTGATATTGTCTTGAAACGTTCAGTAAATGATCCTTGATAATCCGTCTCTCTTTTAGTGTTTTGAACAGCTATCAGACTTGTAATAGTCTCTTTTTTTCAGCCCAAAGGTCTCGTTTGTTACTTGAGCATATTACATTTTCAGCATTAAAAAAAAAAATGCTGACAAAGTACTCTGCTTTGAATCTTTTTTGTTGTTGTTGTTGTTACACAAATGTTGAAATAAACTTTAAAGTAAGTTAAAATCTTAGAATCTTGCACGGGCTAACTTAGCACGAGCTTTATCTAACCTGTGGATTTTTGTTGAGCTGAAAACATTGACGTAATGTTTTTATTTAAAACTGCATGTACTTATTTTCAGGTAAATCACTTCCAGCCTTGTAGAACCAAAGCTTGAACAATTAGCTGCTTCCTCTGGGCTACCTTGCTAACAAACTGTATTCTGTTTATATTTATTCTTCCCATTGCAAATTCTCAAAATGGCGTCTAACTTTAGCAAATAAAAACCTATTTTTAAAAAAGGACAGCAAGGCCAGACTAGGGGAACCACTAATCAGGCAATTGGAGCATAAGCGGCAGCCGCAGTCTGATTTTCCTGATTGTAATACCCACTCTGACCACATCACCATCACAACGAAAAGTAGACATTTTATTCATTTAAAGCATCTCGTAATCACTCTTCTGTACAGTCAAGTGATGAATCATTTAAGCTCTTAAGGGTGAGTTGCTCTAAGCACTATTTTTAGGTTCAAAGAAGAAGAAAAAACTTGTTCTGTGTGCGCTCCATTTCCAAACCAACCACCAGATTCCAAGCCTTTCTCTGTAAACACGTTTCTCTCTGGGTGACTTACCTTAGCTGCTGTCAACAAGCTTTATTTGGATCACTTCAGCCCTCGCTTGGTCGCCCATTCGGTACTTCCTCAGATCCTTTTTTTTTTTTTTTTTTTTTTTTTTTTTTTTTTTTAAAAAAAATTGTGAAAAAAATTTGGTGAAAAAAATCCGTTTTGTGGTTAAGGGGGGG